TTTACATTTTAAATTAAATTCAGGCTTACCTAAAAATGCTGTGTATGAAGAGTTAAATCTTCTTAGAAAATTGTTCCACAAGAATCATCAGCTCTAAATGTACTACAATTTATATTTCAAAATAATTTATCAAAATTTTATTCCAACAACACAATTTATTAGTGTTATAGCCTATAAAATATTCTTAACAGATCCATTAACAGTTGCATCAGCAGAAAGATCCTTCTCAAAATTAAAAATGATCAAAAATTATTTGTGACTTTTCATTTGCCAAGATCAACTGATGTCCCTTTAGTTATAGTGATTGAAAATGAAGATCCTTAAAGTATAAATTTCATGACCCAATACATAAATTTGCAGAAAAATGAACCAGAAAAAAAATCTTATGATCAATCAATATATCATATTAATGATATATTATTTATTACAGTATATAAAATTATGATACAAAAATGTTACCTCTTTACAGTTTGTAAGTTTATGTTGTCACACACATATCATTATTACCCCATTATATTTTATAAGTGGTAAAATATTTTTAAAGAAAAACTATTCTTAGTACTTCTAATGGAACTTTTTTCTTGCTTTTTGAATAGAGACTTGCATTTTAAATTTGCACTCGGCCCTACAAATCATGTAGCTGGTCCTGTTCATAAGGCTGGTCTGTGTTACAGTTAGGGAAGCACCAAAGGTTTTTAAACAAGAATTGTTATACTTACAACTTGCAAGAAGTGCTGAGGATCAATACTCATTGTGTCTCTTCTGCTGGACTATAAACTTTGGAGGGTAGGGTTTGCATCTAATTCATCTTGTGTCTCCCATAGTGCCTAGCACAATGCCTGGTATGCATATAGGGTGTATGGAGCAATGGTTAAGAAGGAGGATCTGACGTCAACATCTTGGCACTGAGTCCTGGTCTGCCACCTCCTTAAAAGTAGCCTTTCTTCACTTCAGTTTCTACATCTGTAAAGTAAGGGTGGTGATGATACTTACTTCATAGAGTTTCTATAAAAACTCAATGAGCTAATGTATGTGAAGTACTTAAAATAGTGTCTGACACTTAGTAGTCACTCAAATGTTAACTGTATCATTTTAAAGTAAATATTTATTGGAAGAATTTTCAACCCTCTGTAAGCAAAAAAGAATGCTGGTGCAGTTTTTAGAACCATTGAAAAAAATAAGTGGAGACCAGACATTTGCACGAAGATAGCATCAACTTTGTGAATAAAATAATCATTTATTACTTAGGCTCCCAAGAGGATCCAACCCTACTCAGAGGATCACCTGCTACCCAGCCAGAGTTTGCTAATGGAAGCTTATTTGAAACTGAACAGGAATATTTTTTGGCTGTAAATCACAGAAAGCCCAATTCAAAAAACCACAATGAGCCACCACTTCACAACCATTAGGATGGCTGTTATTTAAAACACAACATAAAGTAAACAAAACAGAAAGTAAGTGTTGATGAGGATGTGGAGAGATTGGAGCCCTTGTACATTGCTGATAAGAACATAAAATGGTGTAGCCACTATGGGAAACTCTATAGCAGTTTTTCAAAAAATTATAAGTAGAAACCATATGATCTAGCAATTCTACTTCTGGATATATACTCAAATGAACTGAAAGCAGGGACACAAAAACCCACATTTGTACACCCACATTCACAGCCATATTATTCACAGCAGCCAAAAGGTGGAAGCAACCCAAGAATCCACTGAGGAATGGATAAACACAGTGTGGTATATACATAGGATGGAATGTTAATCAGCCTTAAAGAGGAAATTCTGACATGCTACAATATGGATGAACCTTGAAGACTTTATGTTACTTTATGAAATAAACCAATCACAAATACTAATTTTATTCATTTACGGTACTTAGCATGGTCAAATTAATAGGAACAGAAAGTAGAATGGTGGTTTCCAGGAGCTGGGGTGGGTGGAGGGATGGGCAATAACTGTTTAATGGGTACAGATTTTCAGTTTTGCAAGATGAAAAAAGATCTGGATGTGGGTGGCAGTGATGGTTGCACAACAATGTAAATATACTCAATGACACTAAACTGTATACCCAGAAATAGTTAAAATGGTAAGTTTTATTTATTTTACCACAATTTAAAAACTAGACATTAAAATTAAATTTAAAAAAACCAATTCAAACAATAAGGAAGTGTATTGGATGGAGGAAAAGGATGGTTTTGAGAGATGGTAAGAAAGTAGAGTTGATACGATTGTTTGGCTGTAGTGGGAAGAGAGAGAATGGAGTCCAGGATGACTGCCAGGTCTTGCGGTTGGCAGAATGGTGGTGTCCTTCCCTAAGAGAGGGAGCATCTCTGAGAAGGAGCACATTTGAGGAAGGAGATGAACTCTTATTTGAACATCTTGAATCTGACAGACCTGTGGGACATCAAGGTGGAAGTATCCAGTAGGTGATTGGATACACAGAACTGAAGCTAAAGGAGAGATCCCAGATGGAGATTTCTATTACGGAAACAAGAGAATGAGTGAAGTGTCCGATGCAGAGAGAAGATGATTGAGAAGGCACTTCCTGAGAGCTTGCCTGCTGTGATGAAAACCCAGGAGACAGAGTTTCCAAAAGCTGCTGAAAAGTCAAAATAAGGTGGGTAGTGAAAAGTGTCCGGTGAATGCAGAGTTTAACCTAGCCCTGCGTAGTGAGGGGGCACCTAGGTCTTCTGCTTCCACGGTGTTTCTGGGGGCAGGAGCCCACACCAGTGAGATGGGGCTGGCTGGTCTCTCTGCCCCCTCAGGTGCATGGCCTCTCAGCCTGAGGGAGGGGAGAAGGTGAGGGAGATTTAGCCTCAATCCAGGTGCTGCCTGCGGCCTCTGAGAAGTTTGTGGGGATCTCATCTGGACCATAGAGGACAGATGGCAGCTTGCAAAGGGCCCACCAAGTCCCTCCTGACTTGGAACACTGAAAACATTGACATTTGAACATGAATTTCCCCTGGAGCTTTTCCCGTATGGAAATTTCCAGTTGTAAACCATATTGACTTGAATCTGAAGTGTCAGAAAGGTTACCCAGGAGTCTGGGAGCCAAGCAGCTGAAAGCACGTTTGTATGGAAGTTGTTGGGGCAAACAAAATAGGATTCAGAACATTTTTTGAGATCCATGCCAGTGGTGAGCTTTTCCAGGACACATGACAAAAACTGACTCTCTTTGTCAAAAAAACATTGGGTGTTATCCTAATTAATTTGTATTCTTACTGAAATATAAACTTGGGGAAGCAGTGAGGGGAAAGAGCAGCACATGTCATTTCTTTACTAGGCACAAGGGGCTAGAGGAGGCTCCCGTTGAGTTTAACAGGCAGCTTTATGTATTTATATGCTTCGACTGGAGCTAAAGAGGTCTGTGCCACACAATGGCCAGTGTCTAGTTGGATTTTAAAAGAAAATAACTTTGATCATTTCAAAAGCAATGAAGCCTGATGAGAAAAGAAAGCCATAATTTATGGCTACCATTAAGCACACAAAGACAAAGGTGGAGGGAACGTTTCACTAAGCGAAGATTTACAAATGTGTAAAAACCAGTCTTATGACTAGAAATAGCTGAGTGTCTCTCTCGGCACCAAACAAAAGGGGGCAGGTGGGAGGGGCCAAAGACAGAAAAAGGGATGCAACCTGCCTGCCTTCACTGGGGATGAAAGGTCAAAAGAAAAACAACCACAGAGAAGTTGTATTCTCAGATTCTCCTCAGGCCAGCAGCACTGTCAACAAGAGCCCAAAGAGGCCATCAGCCTGGGCCAGGGCTTGAGAAGGGGCAGGGATAGAGACCAGGAGCTGTGGGAGGGGTTCCAGGGATGGGAGACTAGGAGCTGTGAGAGGGGGATCTGGGGACAGGAGACCAGGGAGCTGTGGGAGGGGATCCAGGGACAGGAGACTGAAGGAGCTGTCGGTTGGGGGGGGGGTCCAGGGACAGGAGACTGTGGGGGAGCTGTGGGAGGGGACCCAGGGACAGGAGACCAGGGAGCTGTGGGAGGCCGATGGACCCCAGGAAGATGTCTGTGTGTGAGCTAGGTGGGGATTTTTTTCTGACTTTTTTGATTCTTTGGCAATCTTTCTGATTACCAAAGAAATGAATGAATATATATTTATGATTATTAAATGTTCCCCTGTGACTATATACACAAACATACATGTACCATGTATGTATATATGTATTAACAGGAGAAAACAGAGAAGTTCTGATTAAAACCCTTAGGTGTGGTGTTTTGTTGCATCTAGGAACTGTTGGTACATTTAATCCTGGAGTGATGCTGAGTGTGGTGGGCTTCAGACAACTGTGCCTGGGGTGGTGTGGGAAGGTCCTGTGTGTACAGTGTTCCCTTGTAAGGACTGCCTTGCTTAGAGGGTAAGCTGACCGGCATTGCCAGTATTTGCAGCTGGGCAGACATGATGTTATGAGTTCAAGTGGTTGTAGATATCCCAGGCAAAGTTGGAACTGTGTATTCTACCTGGTGGTTCACCTTTGACCTCAAGCCCCTTTTCCTTTCACCTTTTAGGCTGCTCTGAAACATGCCCTGAAAAACATTTAACTGATTTTTCAGGGAAATGAACATTTTCCTCTTGATTCTGGGCCCAGTAGTGTGCAGGAAAGAGACAGTGTCAGCATAACTCTGTGGGACAGAAGGACTGCGGGGCTTGCAGGGTGGATCAAAGAAGGCCTGGGTTGGGCAGAATGGAACAGGGTGTGCTGAGGTGAGCAGGGACGCAGAGGAGTGGGGTCACCCTCTCCAATGAGTTCTCTTGAGGGTCAGAAGTGTGTGGAATCACTCTCACCCCACTCACATTCCCCCTCTCAAGTGGAGAGGTGGGAAAGCCCCATAGGTGGCTTTGGGGTTTGAGGACTGTAGGGCTCTGAGCTACACAGGATGCGTTCTGGGTGACCCCTGTCCGCGTACTTCAGGCTCCAAGTGCCGTCTGTCCTCGCAGGAGGGACTGGGTCAAGTTGTAGGGCACTGCGAGCAGGCGGAGCACAAGGCTCCCGCGGCCGAGCGCGGCAGGGTGCGGGAGCAGCGGGGCAGCGCCGGGCTGACAGCCGCCCCCTCCGCCAGGGCCGAGGGGAGGGGCGGCACTGCCCCCGCGCCGCCCGCCCCGGCCTGGGGAGGACCGTGTGAAAATGAGGCCGGGGCTCTGGGGCCGGGCGGGGCCGGGCCGGGGGTGTCAGAGGCGGCGGGCAGGGCGCCCGCACACACCTCCCCGAGCCGCCGCCGCGCTCGCCGCCCGCGCTCCGCCGCCTCCGCCCGCAGCCGCCGCGCCGCGTATGGGGGTCGCGGGCCGCGGTTGCCCCGGGGCGGCCCGGGCGCTGCTGCCTCTGCTCTTGCCGCTGCTGCTGACGGCGGCCGCCCCGCCCGGCCGCGGCCGCGGCCCGGGGCCGCCGGAGGGTGAGTGTGCGGCCCCGCGGCGCACCTGGCACGCGCAGGCGGGGCCGGCGCCGGGAAGGGGGTCCTGGGACTGCGAGCCGGACGGGCCGAGCCCGGGCTCGCTGCGGAGTCTCACTCGTCCTCAGGCCGAGGCGCCACCGCGCTGGGGCCGGAGGCCCAGGGCCTGATGACAGCTCCCGCCCCGTGCCCTCCGCCGGGTGCCCGGGGTGCTGTACTCGGATGTGGTGGCGCAGCAGGAAGGGGCATTCGGGTCTCTGGAGCCATTTCTTCATTGTGTAGATGGGGAAACTGAGGGCCAGGGTACATCCGAGAGGTCCTGACAGCTTTGTTCCTTTCTTTGGGGGCTGGAAAGTTCTGTGGACTTTGGGGCTGGCTCCAGGGATTTTTCTATCTGCGGAACAGCCCCTGTTTGCAGATCTGGGAATACCTATAAACAGCAACCAGCCTTGGTTTTCAGCAGCTGGAGATGGTACTCTGGACATTTCGCACGCACTGAACTTGCAAAACTCTCAAACCTTTTGTGTTTCATTAACATCCTGGAGTGGTGTCAACTGAAATATTTCTGCCGAGGCCCGTTTCCAGGTTGAGAGGGTGGGCAGTGGGGAGTAGTTGAGGGGAGGGGTCCCATTCCCCCTTTGTGCCATCTGAGAACTCAGGATGGTGTGCTCAGAGCTTAGGGCATCCCCCAAACCCTGGGATGCTAAAGCAGCTGAGTTTTCAGGACATCTTTGCCAACCTGGCTTTTCTTTCACAGGCATTTACTCTCGCCTAGTCATGTGCCAGGCTCTGTGGTTGGCATCGGGGACACAGTCTGTAATCAAGACATGGGGCTAGAAGGGAGGAAACAGGAAAACAGACAGTGACAATGCTGTGTGCTATATGCTATGAAAGGAGATAAATATGGGACACTTCACCTACACTGGGGGGATCATGGCAGACTTCCTGGAGGAGGTGGGTTGGAGCTGAATCTTGAAGGCAAGTAGAGAGGGTGGACAGATATTCCAGTCAGGGGAACAGGCTGTGCCTGGAAACAGGGGCCTGGAAATGGTGTGGTTAATCTCAGGGGCTCCAAAGCAGTGTAACTCGTGATTGTTGGTGATGATGCTAGAGAGGGGCCAAGGCCAGATGTTGCGGGGCTGTGGGCTCCATCCCAGGAGCTGGCCGTGCTCTCTTGCAGATGTGGACGAGTGTGCCCATGGGCTAGATGACTGCCACCCTAATGCCCTGTGTCAGAACACACTCACCTCCTACAAGTGCTCCTGCAAGCCTGGCTACCAAGGGGAGGGCAGGCAATGTGAGGGTAAGTGACTTGGGGACCAGCGGTGGGTAGGCCGGCAGGGGGAGCTTCCCATCTCCTCAGTTCTTAAGGTGGCCATTCATGTTGGGCAAAGTGCTGCCCCCCACCCACTCAGGTCTTATCACCCTCCCTCTGAAATGCAGTTCAGAACCTTAAAGGACGGGGAAGGTCAGGTCTTCTTCAGAGCTGATCATTTGTTTTATCTGGCTCTAAAATATCCTTTTGTCTAGCTTCTGAAAAGGAAAAGAGCTATGTTAGTATCTTTTGGCCCACTCAGATTTGGGGCAGAAAGTCAGCAGCCATTCTGATCAGGAGATCCAGGCCTGCCAGAGCAAGGCTGATCCTGCACCTCCCTGGGGCATTTTGCACCCTTGCCCTTGCTGGCCCTGCCCTGCTGGCTCCAGAGGCTCCATCTTGTCCATGGGCTGTTTGGCACTGTGACCTGCCAAACTTCAGAGCTACACCAAGGGCCTGCCTCATTTAGAGGCATGTTCACCATGAAAGATGTATGCAGAGGGATATTTTAAGCCCTCAGAGCTCCAGATGTGGGAGTCTAAAGTCTGGGTTCTGCCAACTTGTGTTCTGGGCTGGTGTCATGATCTCTGAAGTTCAGAACTGGTGGAGACTGGACACTCAAAGAAGGAGGCTGTTCCGGGGATGGAAATCATGGTGTCTTGAACCAAGCCAATCCCATCCCTCATTTTACAGATGGTGACAAGGAGGCCCAGTGGGATTGGGAAAGGAACTTGGGGCCATGATCACACAATTAGTGTGACAGTGAAAGAAAGTCAGGTCTCCACCTCAGTTCTGTCCCTGAACCCACATGCCTTGTATTCAACCAGCCCCTCTTTGGTTGGATGAGAAATCATACTATTTATATAACCTTCTTTGTGCACAGGGAGCAAAACTCTTGTCTCTCCTGTCAGAGAAAGCATGTTCCTGGTCAGGTTCATAGCAAATGGGCTTGGTGGTTCACCTGTAAAGCCTGGGTTTCTCCAAGTTCTCATTTCCCCAGGCACAGGCAACCATCAATCTATCTGCCCTATATCCTGGGAGGCCAAAAGGCTACCTCTTCCGCAAATATCTCTCTGCTGACTCCTCCATACACACCCTCACTGTATTAAATATACTTTTTACAGTACTGGAATTCACACATGTTGATATCCTCCTTGGAAAAAAAAAAGTTCATTCTTTCCATGTCTTTCCAGTTACTGTGTGCTCTCTGGAGGCAGAAACACTGCCTTGGTTTCTTTCAGACAAACTACATATTTAGTAAGTGATATTGAATGACAATTGGCAAGAGTTTCCTCATTCTTAGCTTTTGGGTTTGACATATAACAAATAAAACTGAATTGCTAGCAGTTTATAGTTGAAAAGTCTACTATTTAGTTTAAAATAACTAGTGATTGACTGGGGTTGTTGCCTCTATATATTTAAGTTGGTTTAAAAATAACTGATTATTGTTACAAAAAGCCAAACAATGAAAAAATATACAAAATAGGAAACTAAAGATGCTCCTCTTCCTTAATGCACAGGTAGTCACAGTTAACAGGGAGCATATGCTCTTTGTACTGTTATTTACACTAAAACCCTAGAAGGATTTGATCTTCTGAGTACTTGTACTTACAGTATTTATAAACCTGGTGAGTAAGGCTGTCCTTGTTTCGTTCGGATTTCCTGGTGCAAGCATCCAGAGTGGAAACTTTCTTCCAAGAAGGAAAAGGAGAGAAAGTGAAGATTGCAAGGATTCAAAGCTATAGATACTCAAAGATGTAACCTCTTTATGTGTGTTGCTTGGCTTACTAGTTTTTAAGCCTCTTGGGTCCAACCCGTGGTATCAGCTGTGTTGTGATTATCACCAGCTTCACTGCTCCTATTAAGTTCACAGATAGGAACTGAGTTTGCCTAGTGACCTTCACAAAGTTTCTTCTGCCAAACTATTGGAGAAATCAAAGTCTGGGCCCTGAATAAATATTATAAAAATGGTGTGGTTTCCAAAATGGCTTTCCATAAATGCTTTTAATCTAAATGACCTTGGCTTATACCCCAGACTTTAGGGAGGGGATATTTCACTGGTTAGTATTCATTGTATAATCTTTAATTTTCAGTTTACAGAACTGAATCAAGTTTAACAAGGACAAATCTAAACTTTGTCTTTGTGTAATTAGTTGTATTTTTTTAAACTTTTTATTTCGAAACAATTGTAGACTTCAGAAAAGTTATGAAAAATAGTGCAGATTTCACAGGTGCCCTTTACTTATCTTACCCCACCATTAACAACTTATATAACCATAGCACAGTATCAAAACCAGGAGATTAACACTGACATGATACTTTTAACTGTAGGCCTTCACATTTCATCAGTTTTTTCTTAATCCCCCCACTCCCCCAGGATCCAAGTTGAAGTCCCATATCACATTTAGTTGTCGTAGCTCCTTTGTCTCCTACAGTCTGTGACAGTTCCTCAGTCTTTCCTGGTCTTTCATGACACTGACACTTTTGATGAGGACTGCTTAGTTCTTTTGTTTGCCTTATGTTTGCTCATGATAAGAATTGATGTGGTAGAAATTGACACAACTGAGAATGTCCTATGTTTTCTGACATTAGATTAAAGTTATTATGCATTTGGAGTAATACAAAAGTGAAACTTTTAGCAAGGCTAATACAGAAGTGCTGTTGTATGCTTTTCAGTGCATCACATGGTGGCAGGGGTGGCAGTGGGGGAGAGTGGGCTTGGGGAGTAAGGGGTTTTGGGGGTGTGGGAGGGTTGTGGGGGAGGGCACATGGTGTCAACATGTCCTATTTCTGGTGAGGTTTATTTTGACCACCTGGTTATGATGGTGTGTTCTGGGTTTCTCCACTGCAAAGTTACTATCTTTGTCCTGCAGGACCCATATCTTGGGGCAGATAGTTTCAGCTTATACTAATATTCTTTTCTTCTCAAGTCTTTGCCCACTGAGTTTAGTATCCAACTGTGACTCTGACCTACTGCAATTGTTACTATGATATGTGCCTCTTGGTAATTTTGTATTTCCCTCATTCCTTATACATCTGTTAACTAGGATTCTTCTGTAAGGAAAATCTGTCCCTTCTCCCCCATTTATTTATGCTTTAATTGATGTATGTATGCCAATATGGACTCATGGGTATGTATTTAATTTATATATAGGGTTTTTATGTGTTCTTTTGGCTCAAATTGTTCCTACTTTAGTCATTAGGAGCTCCTTCATGTTGTTTCCTGTGTCCTTTTGACATGCCCCTGTCCTTTTTGGAGGAATTCCTAGTTTGCTAGAACCACAAGATGCCCCAGAATCTTCTTGTATTTTCCCGTCCCTGGGCCTGGAATCAACCATTCCTCCAGAGAAGCTTTGAAAATGGTATATAAAAACCAAAATCTGCATGCTTAGTGTTCTCATTGTTCTGGGCTGTTGTTGATCCTAAGCTCTCTCAGTGGAAAGAACTAGGATATGGATTCTTGTATCTGGATATGGTTTCTTATATCTGTGTATTTGCAGATGTAAGGAATGAATAAATTTGCATATAGATTAAAAACAATGAGTTACACTGATGCTTTGGATTCCAAAGCAATAGCACAGATTCACTTTAACCTCCCTCTTTGCTTTCTCCAACAATGAGAAGTCTGGCTCTTATCTGTAGTATATTTACCTGTTTACACCATACAAGTATACATAGAAAGTATTTATACAATTACTAATCAATAGCCCTGTGAGTAAAGCAGATTTACTAGTTAGGGCACAGTATTTGCATATGACTATTTTTATTTTCAGCCTTACAACATCCATTCAAAATGTTTTTCAGTTACTTAGGCAAGTACTTTTCTTCTCCATCCCCTTCAGTGTGATTATGTTATTAATTTATAGTAGTTAGGTCCATTTGTTTCTCCCTTTGTATTCCATTTTTTATCTGTTCCCCTCCCCCTCACTCCTGGTTCCTGGTTGACCTTATGTATGTATGTATATGTGTTCATGCATGTATCACTGTGGTTCTGAGAGCCAAAGCTATACAAAAAAGATATGCTCAGAGAAGTAGTCCTCCTCTCTTGCTATTACCCTGTTCCCATTCCTCCTTCTTTCTACCCCTTTTCCCAAACCTGCAGGTCACCAATCCCTGTAGTTTCTGGTTTACTCTTCCTATGTTTCTTCTGCAAAAATAAGAAGATAAATGTTTTTAACTACTTTACTGAGTTATATTTTTTGTACCATAAAATTAAAAAATTCTAAGTGCACACATGGTGATTTTGAGTAAATCAGGTGAGTTGTATAACCATCACATAATATAATTTTCAAACATTTTCCTCATCTCAATAAGATCCCTTATTGCCATATACAGTTAATTTTTGTCCCCAGCCCCAGCTCCAAGCAACCACTAGATTACTTCCTGTTTTATAGATTTGCCTTTTCTGGGCATTTCATATAAATGGAATCATACATTATGCAGTCTTTTGTGTTTAGCTTTTTTAACTTAGCATAATATTTTTGAAGTTTGTCTATGTTGTAGCCTGTATTGACATTTCATTCCTTTTTATTGTTGATTAGTATTCCATTGTATGGTTATACCATGTTTTATTTATCCATTCACCAGGTGATGGACATTTGGGTTGTTTCAACTTTTGAGCTATTATAAATAATGTTGCTATGAACATTAACCTGCAAGTCTTGGTATGGACATAATTTTTCATTTCTCTTGGATATATACATAGGAGTGGGATTTCTGGATCATGTGGTAAATTTATGTTTAACCTTTTAAGAAACTGCCAAACTATTTTCTAGAGTGACTGTGCCATCTTACAATACCATCAGCAATGTAAGAGGGTTCCTGTTCCTCCACATTCTTGCCAACATTTTTATGTCTGTCCTTTTTATTACAGCTGTCCTGGTGAATGTGAAATGGTATTTTATTGTGGTTTTTAATTTTAATTCCCCTAATAATTAATGATATTGAGTATCTTTTCATGTGCTTATTAGCCATTCACATATTGTCTTTGGTGAAAATGTGTAGTCAAATATTTTACCCATTGTAAAAATGGATTGTTTTCTTACTGAGTTGTAAGAGTTATTTATAAATCCTTTTATAAGGTATGTGATTTGCAAGTATTTTCTACCAATCTGTGGCTTGTCTTCATTTTCTTAATAATGTCTTTTGAAATGCAAGATTTTTAAATTTTGATAAAGTCCAACTTATTAGTGTTTAAATTTATGAATTATTTATTTGTTGTTGTATCTGAGAAATCACTATTGAACACAAAATCTCAAAGATTTCCTCATAAAAGCTTTATATTTTCTCTTAAAAGCTTTATTATTTTAGCTCTTACATTTACGTCTCTAATCCATTTTGGTTTGATTTTTGTGTAGGTATGCAGTTAAGGGCCTAAATTTATCTTTTTTGCATATGGATATCCCATTACCTTAGCACCATTTATGAAAAGATTATCATTTCTCCTAATAAATTGCCTTGACACTTTTGTCTAAAATCAAGTGACTACAATATAAGCATTTACATCTGTATTCTCCATTCTGTTCCATTGATCTATATGTCTGTCTTTATGCCCATACCACAGACTTGGTAACTATAGCTTTTTAGTAAGTGGAAGTTCTCCAGATCTGTTCTTCTTTTTCAAAATTGTTTTGGCTTTACTGAGTCTTTTGCATTTCCATATAAATTTTAGGATAAGCTTGTCAAGTTCTGCAAAGATGCCTGCTGGGATTTCATGTGTGTTTTTTATATCCCCTTATTTTTCACATGAACATAGCATACTATAGATCCTCTTTATTATTTTGATTTTTTTTTAACTTAATAGTCTGTCCTAGAAATCACTTCAGATCAGTTCATTGAGGTCTTTCTCACTCTTTAACAGCTGCATAATACTCCACTGAGTATATCTACCATAGTTCTTCAACTGCTCTCCTATGTATAGGCATTTAGGTTATTTCTAGTATTTTATGGTTGCAAACAATGCTGCAGTGAATAACTGCAAAATATTCCTGTTGTTGGAGATGTATCTTCAGGGTAGATTCCTAGAAGTGGGATAGCTGATTAAAATGTAAATACCTATTTCCATACTAAAGAAATAGCACCTGTCTGACTGACTTCTGCTCTATTTCTCAGACATTGATGAATGTGAAAACGAGCTCAATGGAGGCTGTGTCCATGACTGTTTGAATATTCCAGGAAATTACCGCTGTACTTGTTTTGATGGCTTCATGTTGGCTCATGATGGTCACAATTGCCTTGGTAAGGAAAACAACTGGAAATGGCAGTTCTCCTTTACTGGCCTCCTATACCCCGACCCCTTTCTTGCCTGTGATGAAAACATCATTGAAACAAAAAAGGGATCAGAGACTTGTGTTTTCTGACTTGTAGCTATTTCTTTAATGCTGTAAGTGTCTCTATTATAGAATTAGGTAAAACTACTTGTCCTGAAGACTCCAAATGTATGATTGGATCTCAGCCAAGTAGACTCCCCCTGTTTTTCTTGAGAGAAACATTCAAACAGAAGCCTTCCGTGAACATCTCCTAGTGTTCCACAACATGGAAACATCTGTTGGAGTTTTAGTCCCTGAGTTCGGAACTGAAAGAGCATTGTTTACATTGATTCCTTGTGCCGTGAACAAAACAGAACTCAGAAATAGAAGCAATTGGATGGGGCTGAGTGTTGGGCAGTCCTAGAGGACACAGCACACCTAGTGGGCCGGTATCTGTGGGCCGCTTGCACTTTAAGGCTGATGCTGACAGCTGCACAGGACATAATGGCATGTGCCAGGGGACAGATGGCATTGGGGTCTTTAGACCCTTCATGTGGTTGGCCTGCTGATGTCTACTTGGTGACTAAGGAGCAACTTGAGCCCAGCCCTGACTTCCATGGGGACAGCTATTCCCACGCTCCCTTCCAGTGTGATAGGAATGGCCACGGAGGAAATGCTATGCAAGCAGCATAAGCAACACTAGTCTAAGTACGGGTAGAACTTGTTCTTTGAATGTTGGGGGAGGAGAGGTTTCCATTTGAGATTCAATTCTTGCATGACCTTTGTCCCACTTCAGTGTCACCTGGAGCCCCATTCTGATCTCAGCTCTATCCCTGTCTGGGTGAGGGGTCAGCCTTTGGTTCAGACCACTTGGCTGTCCAAGCTTACAGCTGTCAGGGAGACTTGACTGAGGACTGGGGGCTCACTGACTCCTTTGCAAACTGTCTAGGCAGTCTGTACCACAAAAAGACACACTAGAGAAATAATCCTGGGAGCAGCAATAAATTGAGGTTAATATACAGTATGTTTTTTGGGTTTGTTGTGTTTTTAACATTTTCTGGGATAAATCTCACATTTCCTTTAGATTTGTCAACAGTGACATTTTCAGTATTTGAATGTGGTGGAAAACCTAGTCATCACAGCTGTGTTCAAACCCACAGCCTAGGGGGAAGCATAAGCTCCCGAAGAGCAGCAAGCCAAACCTTCCAGGGTTTAAGGAACCGGGCCAGGGTCAGGTGAGGCAGTTCCGAGTAGAGGCCTGCTCAGAAATCCTCAGGCTGGAGTCTTTCCTTGCGTTGGCTGCTGACAGACATGTCAGCAGATTATCTCCATTTCCCTTCCTTGGGTCTCTTTGTATGCCTTGCAGAAAGATCCTGACTATCCTCTGAGGATATCTCAGGGGGCTAAGAATTCTTTAAAGGAAGGCATGAGAAAATAAAGTGGTGCATTGAGAAGAGCAGGACCAGTGCACATGGAGATTTCTCTGCTGTTTTGAAAGGGCTAAAGTATTTTGTGACAAGAAAGCTCAGGGCCAAAACTTTCCCGGGGCATCAGTTTCCTGTATTCTCCGGGAGGGCACCCTACCTCTCCTCAGCCTCCCAAGCACACATTTAGCCACAGATTTCTTAGCCAGAATATATGGAGTACAGATACCACTTAACTCTGCACCAAACCCAGAGTGCTCCAAGATGCTGCATCCCTGTGAGCCTGAAAAATGAAACACAGCAGCTCTTCTACAGTTAACCCCTGAATTCAGGTTCTATTCACTGAGTGTCTAGGAGTACATTATAGCTATTCCATTTTGTAGCCATGGTGCTCAACTCTGGATGTACACTTGAATCACTTGAGAAGTTTAAAACACCACCATTGGCTAGGTTTCATCCAAGGTACTAATTATATTACTGTCTCAGGACGTAGGGTCGAGGCATCAGGGTGCTAACATGCAGCCAGGGTTGAGAACCACTGTTTTACAGTCTGGAGAAGCTCACCAGCCTGGTGATCCATATTTGTGCATGTGGACACACACTTTTGTGTTAATTTGATCAGAGTAAATCATCCAACTACATATTACTAATTGCTTTGGAGAAAAGGAATAGTAGGTTAAACGTGGGATGGAGGGGTGGCAGCTCAGAGGGAGCACACATCTTTACTCAAAACCAATGCAAGATTTGGTATTTAGGGAGTGTGAACTGGCCAGGTGTGTTTCAGCATGCCTCATCCTCTGGAATGTGCTACCCTTTGGCATAGAGAAGGGTACATTTTCTAGGCTTTAGGGGATGGCTTGAGTCCCATCAGTTCAGAGAGGCATCTACTGGGTGGTATGGGAGGATGGATGACTAAGATCTGAAGCTTGAAACCAGATAACAGATATTTAAATGTGAATTTTCTTGTTACAGATGTGCTCAGAAGCTAGTGATAGGCACATGGGAAATAGGCTGGAAAAAATATATGGCTTTGATATCAGTCTTCTCCTTGAGAATTATCATGTCTGAGACTTTTCTGGAAGTTTCCTCGTCTTTGGCTTAGGTGATGCTGCGCTCTCCTGCTTGTTTTCTCATGCATTGGACAGTTAACTTGTACCTGCAGGCTCCAGGGCTGTGTAAATAAAGCAAAAATCTCTGTCCTCAAGGAGTTTGTGTTCTAGTGCAGACGGATAAGTAAAAGATTTTGAGGGACTAAAAGGTACAAATTGAAAAAACAAAGATTTGGGGAATGCAGTCCCATAGTGTACTGCTGCACAGGGTGGTGTATGACACGGTGGGGGGAAGGCCTCCTAACCCCACCCTGCGTGGGCAGAAAGCAGGTGGAGGGAGGCTCCCTTGCCCCCTGTCCTTCTGACGGCTTCTTCTCTGGGGGTCCTGCTATCTCCTGTAGCTCCTCCTGCCCCTGTCATCCTACTGAAATCCACCTCTGGCTGTGTCCTCTCTGCTCCCCTCCTCTCCCTTCCCACATTCCCGCACTGGGCTTTCTTACACCCACCCTTTATCCTACCATCACAAATAAATTATTTTCACAGCTGTGTTTATAGCACCAGACTCAGGTTTCCCTCTGCCTGCCAGCCCAAGCCCCGAATGTCATCCTCTCTGGCACATCATCGCCCTGCTATGCTGGGGCTGTCCACACCTCCAGTCCCATTCCTGTATGGGTGGCAGCTCAGAGGGAGCACACATCTTTACTCAAAACCAATGCAAGATTTGGTATTTAGGGAGTGTGAACTGGCCAGGTGTGTTTCAGCATGCCTCATCCTCTGGAATGTGCTACCCTTTGGCATAGAGAAGGGTACATTTTCTAGGCTTTAGGGGATGGCTTGAGTCCCATCAGTTCAGAGAGGCATCTACTGGGTGGTATGGGAGGATGGATGACTAAGATCTGAAGCTTGAAACCAGATAACAGATATTTAAATGTGAATTTTCTTGTTACAGATGTGCTCAGAAGCTAGTGATAGGCACATGGGAAATAGGCTGGAAAAAATATATGGCTTTGATATCAGTCTTCTCCTTGAGAATTATCATGTCTGAGACTTTTCTGGAAGTTTCCTCGTCTTTGGCTTAGGTGATGCTGCGCTCTCCTGCTTGTTTTCTCATGCATTGGACAGTTAACTTGTACCTGCAGGCTCCAGGGCTGTGTAAATAAAGCAAAAATCTCTGTCCTCAAGGAGTTTGTGTTCTAGTGCAGACGGATAAGTAAAAGATTTTGAGGGACTAAAAGGTACAAATTGAAAAAACAAGGATTTGGGGAATGCAGTCCCATAGTGTACTGCTGCACAGGGTGGTGTATGACACGGTGGGGGGAAGGCCTCCTAACCCCACCCTGCGTGGGCAGAAAGCAGGTGGAGGGAGGCTCCCTTGCCCCCTGTCCTTCTGACGGCTTCTTCTCTGGGGGTCCTGCTATCTCCTGTAGCTCCTCCTGCCCCTGTCATCCTACTGAAATCCACCTCTGGCTGTGTCCTCTCTGCTCCCCTCCTCTCCCTTCCCACATTCCCGCACTGGGCTTTCTTACACCCACCCTTTATCCTACCATCACAAATAAATTATTTTCACAGCTGTGTTTATAGCACCAGACTCAGGTTTCCCTCTGCCTGCCAGCCCAAGCCCCGAATGTCATCCTCTCTGGCACATCATCGCCCTGCTATGCTGGGGCTGTCCACACCTCCAGTCCCATTCCTGTAGCCAGTGCTGGTCTTCCCCACATTTCCCCCCAGCCCCACCCCATGCCCACAAAGCTCTCTGCCCCGCTGGCAGCTTGCCACAGTCCTCTTGCAGGTTTTCCTTCCTAGGAGTCCCCCCAGCCAAGTGCCCGGCCTGGTCCCCCACTTGTCCCAGCCCAGGCTATTCAGGCACATGTGGGAAACCAGACTCCCAGGCTTCCCATCCTTCCCCTCTTCTGTGTCCGCCTCTCGGTGGCTGCCTTATTCTTCCCACTCAGGTCTGACCATGTCACCCTTGCTCCAGTTCCCAGTTGCCTCCCAAATAAAGTAGTCACTTCTTTGCCTGATACTCAGGGTCCTCTGCATGTGACCCAGTCTGTCTCCCCAGCTTTACCTCCAGTAATATCCCCACATGTATCCGTGTGCAGGCCAAATAGAGTGGCCCACCCTTATCTGAATATACTCTGTGACCCCAGCTTTCACGCTGTGCTCATGCCTTTTCTTCTGCCTAGAATCCCTTCACCTGCTTTGTACCTGAGGGAATCCTGCAGGGCCCTTCTTTTATCAGCTTTTTCATAAAAGCCATCCTGCTATCCCCCAACAGAAGTGACCTCTCCTTTGTACCACCTTCTACCTCATCTCATAATTACTGTACATTTGTTGCCTTCCCTCTGCTGAAGGGCGTGCTCCCAGAGCAAAGGAATTTGGTCTTATTTATCAATGCTCCACTGTCTCCTCTAGCACTGCGCTTTGGAGAGAGAAGGTGTTCAGTAAGTACTTTCTGAGCCGATTTCAGATTCTGCTACTGGGTAACTGGGGGCAGGTCTCTAAGCTACAACTTCCTCACCTGGCAAAATAAGTGGGTTGGCCTGGGTGAGCGCTGAGGTCTCTTCAAACTCTCACATGCTCTGATTCTAATCTTTAAGTACAGTACATCTCAAATATGACTCAATGTCTCAGGAGAAATGAACAGTCTGCCAAGTTTTTCAAACAGGTGCTGCAAACCACAGCACTAAGTGGGAGCCTGCTCCTTGGTCTGCGCAGGGCGCGAGGCAGCTGGAGCCTTCCTACACAGACTGGCAATCAACTGCCCAGTTTTTAGGCCCAGATCTAGCCTTCCCTGTGTTTTGCATTTCAAACCTGGGTCTCTGTGGTCCCAGAGAGACTCCCCTCCCCCAAACGTGAGCTTTCTCTGCTGTGGTTTTTTTCACCCATGTTACCACTTACCATTCCTGCGTAAGTCTGCAGGGAACTTCTCTTCTTATGGCCTCCCTTTTGTTCTCTGGGCTGAGTTTATCCCTTTCTTTTTATTCCTCGATTAGTTCAGTGCTTTCCCTCAGGAGGGAGAGGCATTATGTGGACATCAACTACTTCTAACTGATGTGCTGTTGCTTCTCTGTTCTTTCTCAAGCCAAAGAAGTGCATGTGGTGCTGTATTTGCCCCGAGGTTGCCTGGGCCTGTTTGAAGGAAGGGCCCTCAATATTAGACTCTCACCACCCTTTACCTGTGCTGCAGCTTCGTTCTCACAACTTAAGAATGAGGCGATTTTAAGTTCTACCATTTAATCACAGATTTGTAGATTGATTGTTTTAATCATGGTTTTAGAGGCTTTTCAAGGATTTCTTTGTAGAAGATAATTTTTGCCTCATTTTCCAAGAATGATGGTTCCTTCCTCAGACCAAACTAGAAAGTCTATTTGGGTACTAAGAAGGATGGCCAGAGGAAACCGCAGGGGCCAGCAGGTTTGATGGCTCTCAGCACCCCTAGCCTGCTTGTCCTCCGTGTTTGGGCAGGGTAGTCGCACAGGGCTCCAACCAGGCAGATCTCTTATCTCAGCAGGTGGGGCCCTTGACTGCATTTGGTCTGAGGCAGAATGAAGATGCCAGCAGCAAGAGTAAAGTGCATCTCAGGACGTCTCCCCTTCGGTGGCTCAATGTTGCCTCCTGGGAAGTCACTCTGACTTTCTCTTCAGGTGGGAGGGAGGTGGGGGCCTGGTGCCATTGCCTGGATCCCACCCTGATCCTCACAAAGCAGTTCTCAGTGATTAATATCATCTCCTACTGTTGCACTTCCAGGGCAGTGGCTCAGCTGCTTTCTCCCCTCCATGGAGTGAGCTCCCCAGACTGATTACAGACCCAGGCCCCTCATAAGAGAAGTAAATACAGAAGTAGTTCCTTTCCACAATCTGCATTTTCTAACTTTTCTACAATTCAGACATTCTTGAGTCCCCTGAAGAGTATTTAAAAATGAACATATTTGTCTGGAGCTAAAATTAAAACCCAAGAATTCAAGTTGTGGCCTGGAAGTGCTCTCTGTGATTTTCTGTTGTTCCAACCCGATTGCTCGGTGAATCCATGGCAGTGTGGGCCGACAGACTAGAGCAGTGTGTAACTAAGACCCCTTCTGTCCTCCGGTTTTTATCTCCTTAAGTAGAACAATCTGTAAACGCTGTTGCTTTGGGATTTCTTCCTTGGTGTGCACATGAAACCCTTAGAAACTGTATTAAAATAGACTTTAAAACCCACAGTGGATAACTCTAATGATGGTGGAAAGAACATAACACTGCAAACTGGTATATTCTAGTGTTGAAATTGTTGTTTTAAATGATTATTTACTAAGCATTCTTCAATAAAAAGGAACATAATAGCCAATTCAGAGGGAAAGCTTAAACTATTGATTTTTTTTTATCCTTAGAGATCCCAAAGCTTTGGTAAAGAGACTGTGTGTTCTCACCCATGTAATGGGGGTAGGCCGGAGAGAGACGTAGCTCCCAGCCTGCCTTTGTCCCTATTCATGGGTGCTCAGGCTCTCAAAATGAGCATTCCTCTTTTGTTCCGTCTGCTCTGAGAATATTTTTAGAGGTTTGCATGGCTGCCTTTTCAGAGTAGTGGGGAAGGTGTCAGGATAGTGAAGAAGGGGCTGTGCTCTCGGCAGGGCCTGTTTCTCCCTGTTAGGGAACTCTCCTGGCCCTGTTTGTAAGGCATGTTTTTATTCAGTTCCCAGAAATAGTCTTCAGGGACACCCTGGGCCTGGGGACCATCAGAATGGGGTATTTCTAATGTTTCTGAGTTGTTTCCCTACTGGCACACTAACAATCTTTTTTTTTTTTTTAAACAATCTTAAATATTACTGCGAGGTCAGTTTACAGGGTTGGGGGCCAGAAACATGACCAGACCTCCCAGTGTGGACCAGGTCCATTTGCTTCCCCTAGCAGGGGCCTTGTTTAAGTCAGGGTGCTCTAAAAAACTTTGGGGTCTCCTCTCAAAAAGCCTTCATCATTTCTAAAGCCATTTAAACCTCCATTATTTTCTGGTAATTTTAGGTCTACCTTGATAGGATATGACAACAGGGGGGGCAACTTTTTGTGTATCTCTACAGCATCTGGTACACAGTCAGTTCTTGTGAAATAGTTCCTGTGTAAAAGAACTGTTCTGAGGCAGTAACAGTCATGTTGCAAATGTCTTAGCAGACTTGTAAGCAGAGTGCAAAGCAGCTCACCTGATTGGGAGCTTCACAGGCATCACTGCGGCCTTTCCTGGGCACTGTTACATTTGCCCCTAGGTGCTCCTGGCACCTAGTATTCCAAGTGCTCTGCTGGTCCAGGGACAAACTTGATGCTTGCTAGGCCTTCCCAGGAGAAGATGATGCTGGTTCTTGGGGGCAGCTCTCACCTCCAGGGCCATCTCGATGTTACCAGGAGCAAGTAACATCTTTAGAAATCACCAGTAAGAGCTAAGAGAGAGCTTCCCACTGACCCAGTGCAAGCCTCTTTCCATGTTAATTGCCAGCAGCCCTTGGCACGGGTGAATGAATCCCAGCAACTTCCAGCAGATTGAACACTGGAGTTCAAACAGCTTTTAACTGTCAGATTAAAAACAAGATGGTTTTAAGAGAATATGGGATGCATTAACTCTTGAGCTGTCTTTTGGAACAGGAATGACATCTGTTTGTATTAAAACAACTATTCCAGTTAAGCACAGATCAATGGCTCTGTGGTGAGAATTAGAGGGAGGTAACTTTTGACTTCATTAGAACGAACTGGCTAAGGTTTTAGGGGCACAGTACAGAACAGTGTGGATCCTAGAGAAGTTGAATGAAAATGTTTTATACTCATGTTTAAAACAGTGCTACTCTCAATATTAGAAAGTGTCTTGTTGTAGAGAACCAACAAGAGCAAAACCCCTGCTCTCAAAGATATTTTAGACTTGGGTTGCACAAATGCAAAGAAGCACCACGGGAATATGCACTCAGCAGTGCAGTAAGAGCTGAGCAGGGGTTTGAGAATACTCGTGGGTATGCTACCAGCTCCTCCAGCATGATGGCAGGCGGCAAGGTGTCAAAGAATTGGTTTTAGGAAGAGACGTGATGCTGGCAAACACATGGATGTATACTTTGCTGTGACCTCGTCATTTAGATGCATGTTAAACTATCCAGGAAAATAAGCCCCTTCCTATTACTGTTACCACGAGATCAGGCCTAATGAAAATTATAAGAATACCTGAAAAGAATTTTACAGCAGCTAAATGGAGCCACATGGATGAGGTCTCTGTTCCCTCTGTGGTTGTGTTGTTGTGCTCCAAGCCTGCTGAGGGAGGGCCAGGGACTAACTGAGGGTCACAGAAGAGAGGTCCCTGGGCAGGTGTCTGTGATGGCAAAATGCAGTAGTCACAGTCACTTCCAAAGTGTGGGTTTGGTGGGGCTAGAGAGGACGGCTGACCTTTTCTGAAAATCATCTTGAAGGGTATGTGAGAAAGTTGGGTATCTTCATCAGTCTATCTGCAGATTTTCTTCGGAGAGATTCACCTCTTCTCTTTGCATTCTTGACCACGGGTGACAACATGGCAGAGATGAGAGTCCGAGGCTGAGTTCCTGGGGTCCGCAGGCTGATTCCATGCCTAGCGGAGCGCTCCTGAGAGGGCTTTCTTTTGAGTGTATTGGGAGTGCTCCTACTTCTTTAGGAGGGTTGAAATATCATATCTCTTGGTGACATAAGAAAATTTTCATATCTCTGTTAATTGGCGTGGCTTGATTTTAATGACATGTTCTTTTAAAATGTGGGGCTGCTGGAGACCCAGGCAGGCAGTTCTGCAGGCCACCAGCCAGCCTTTGTGGTGCCCTGGGCTCCAGAGTCTGACCTCAGCCTGGTCACAGGCTGCATGCTGCTCTTTTGCAGAGGGTCTGAGCTGCATGAATAAGAATCATGGCTGTAGTCACATCTGCAAGGAGGCCCCAAGGGGCAGCATCGCCTGCGAGTGCCGGCCTGGTTTTGAGCTGGCCAAGAACCAGAGAGACTGCATCTGTAAGTACAGTCTGGCCCACACCAGCACTGGGAATGATCCTACCTACCCTGGAGGTTGTCTTCTGCAGCCCAGCCTCAGAAATGCCACTTCACAGTGCAGCAGCAGCAAGGAAGGCAGCCAGCTCCAGACCCTGACCTCTGCCGGGTACTAAATTCATTGCAGAAGGGCAGGGAGTGATGTTTCTTAAAGTAGCCAACTGGAAGGAAATGAAACTTAGGAGTAAGGAGTCTGAATGTTGGGGGCTAGGTCTCCCTGTCCCTGCAGAATAAAATCACACTTTCTCATCTGGCAAGCTCCAGCTCTTTGCTGCCTGATTCTTGCTTCTTGAATAAGCCTCATCTGCCTCCTTTGCCCAAACACCAAACGCCTTGACATTTGGAGCAGCCCACACTCTTTCATGCCTCCAAGCTCTATTCCAAACCCTCCTCCCTCTTGGCTTGGTGAATTCTCACTCAGCTAATGTTGTGCCTAACTTATAATAACAATGAAGCTCCCCAAAAGTAAATGCTTTTTGGGGAGCATTTACTGTGTGTGAAAGCTTGTCCAAAGATGTGCCATATTCCATTTAATTCTTACAATCACCACCCTATAAGCTAAATATTATTATCCTCATTTTTGCTTGAGAAAATGATGGAGAAGGTAAAGCAACAAGGTCACACAGACAGTAAGTGGCCAATTGGATTCAAACGCAGGTCTGCCTAACCCCAAGGCCTGTGCTCTTCATCACCATAGGCTTGTGCTCTTCGTCACCATGCTTTCCCACCTAAAAAGCCTTCCACCAGGGCAGCTCTTTTGTATTTTGGCTTCCAGAGCCCCATTCACTCCCCAGTCATAGTGCATGACTCTCTGGGTTGCACTGTATATTCAGGTGTCTGTCTCCCCAGCTGTGAGCCCAACAAGTCGGGGACTTTGTCTTATTTTTGCCTTTCAGTCTTCTGGTGCCTCCATAGGGTGTGCTCACTGTACGTTTATTTGATGGCTGGGGCAATGAATGCTGTTCACAGTCTGGACACAGCCGTCCCTCAGTCATAAAACACAACCATGAAACTCTGGCAGATAACAGGAAACAACCAGCCATTAAACATGTTCGTTGAATTAATTTAATTAAAAGTATCTACTGTCTATGCCAGAGGAAATGCTAAGGAAAGAAAAAAGATATGGAGTTCTGCCACATACCTAGTTTTCCTCACTTTTTTCATATTCCCATTCAGTTGTCCATGTGCAGACACAATTTTTGCATAACTGTAATCACAAAATATGTACTTGGTTCTTTTAAATTAGGAAAATTATAAATGCCTGTATGATAATTCAAACAGCCCAAAGTGTGTAAAAAACACATGTAAGCTTCCCCCTCCCATTTCCTTTGCCAGAGGTAACCACTGTCCAGTGTGATGAGTAGATAATTTTGTAGTTGGCTTTTTTTTTGGCTTGTCATTAATGAATTCATACATAGTCTTTGTAATTATTGGTTATTGTTGCATTAATTGTGTACAAAGTCATTATTTCCTCTGATTACTCTCCCTTCTAACTAATCCAGATGGAATCTTATGAGAGAAATGCTAACACATACGTACACATTAACTATTCTCTGTTTAGACATAAAGTACTATAGACATAAAGTACTATACCATTTCCAAAAATCCTAGTACAGTTATGTTAACATGGAAACTTCACCTGCTAGAGCAAAGCAGTAGTCTAGAATCTTTCGGTATATTTCCCTTAAATAGTGAAAAATCCCTCCATCCCATCTCCACCTTGCTGTATAACTTTGCTCAAATCTGTTGTTCAGCATTTCTACTGTTCATATTGCCACCACTTGTTTATAAAGACAGGCACAGAGTCTGAGTCAGAGTTTTCTCTTTTATGCCCAGTGCTTAGCATGTACTTGGTGCTCAAATGTTAGCTGAATGAAAACCAAAGTTCTTCTGGAGCAAATGCGGCCCTAGCTGCAGAAATGTCAGTGCTTCCTGTATCAATTCATTTTCCTTTCAGTGACCTGTAACCATGGAAACGGCGGTTGCCAGCACTCCTGCGAGGACACAGCTGAAGGCCCAGAGTGCAGCTGCCATCCACAGTATAAGATGCTCGCAGATGGGAGGAGCTGCCTGGGTGAGTGGGGATCCCCAACTGGATGAGGGTCTGCCCGAGCCTGCCAATGGCTAACCTGAACCCTAACACCTAACTCTAATCCCTAACCCCTAATCCTAACCCTAACCCCAAAGCCTAACCCTGATCCCTAATCCCTAGCCCTAACCCTAACCCTAAGCATGGGCATCCTTTAGCACCAGATAAAGGTGTTCCCAGCACATTTGCCCCCACAGTGGTCCCCTGTGTGTCACATGTGCTAGAGGGAGTGGTCTGGGCCTGGGATAGGGGGTCCCTCTCTCCCTCTGAGAATGTGGAAAACCCTTTCTCCTCTCCTGGACTAGGCTGCTGCTGAAGCTATAACACATCCCAAGGGGCCAGGGTGACATGAAGTGAAAGCCTAGCTGTTTGTGATGACACAGTGCTCTTCACAGTCAGCAGGAGCCAGGGATGTATATTTCTTTCGGGATGCCTGCCCTGCCCTTCAAGGCCAGTGCTTTGCTAGCTCCATCTCACAGGTCCCCAAGCCCAACATCCTTTTTGTCCTGGGCTACGGCTTGCGTTCCCTAGTGTCTCTTTGGTCAGTGCAATATACTTCAAAAATCTTTTCCGCATTTAATGTTTACCAAGTTTCTGCGGCTGTTCAACATGCTGTGTTTCCCACAGAGCCTCATTATGACACATTTTTATCAAGTGAAAGAGTCATGTATCTCACCTTGTTGTCATGTCTGGATTTCAGCAGAAGTGGTTGTGCAGGGGATGAATAGTCTGACTTATTCAGACTGGGAACTGTGCTGTTTTGCATCTCTTGTAGAGCGAGAGGACACTGCCCTGGAGGTGCCAGAGAGCAATGCCACATTAGTGGCGGATGGGGATAAACGGGTGAAACGGAGGCTGCTGATGGGTAGGTGCTTCACCTACCCTCCCTGGGCCCCTGTTACTGCTCCATTCTGTCTCCAGCTTACTACATGCCCACTCACCCTTAGACCAGCTAGACCAGGGTCAGCAGCTCCTGCCAAGCCAGGGTGTGTCGTTCTTTGCCCACTGTTGTTTATTAGTCATCACCAAGACCCCTGGCAGGCCCAGCCATCAGAATAACCGGTTAGCGTCCTAGTGCCACCTGCCTAGCTGTAGGTCTTGGGCAAACTGCTCTGAGACTCCATCTCCTGGTCTTTCTTTAAAATAGAAGTGATAAATATACTTCTTAGAAATCTCAGTTAAGATAATAATATGCGAACGTGCCAGAGTCCAATGCTTGGGACTGAGTGGGTGGTCCGTGAATGTCAGCTCCCTTCCTCTGAGGAACTGACCAGAGAGCCACATTGGGCAGCCCCTCGCTTAGCATGGTGATTGGTCTGCTTTTTTGTCCACTGAGTCTTCTCTCTCTGACTCCAGCTGATCTTAACGGCAGAAGAGATGAATGGTGAAGAGTGGCACTTGGCTGTGGGACATGGGAAGGTCTGCCAGCAGGTCCCACAGTGGAGCTGGACATGAGAGCAGTAGAGGCAGTGCCTGTGGGACTGGATCAGATCCTTTGACACATTATTATTCTGGAGAAAGCTTGGCTTAATGGAAACAAAACTGACCTTTTGAAAGCTGCTGGATTCAGCAGTCAAGCAAGATATTGGGCAGCCGTTGGTTACTAGGCAGGTGATATTGCTGAACTCTTATCTGACCATCTGTTCTTAATCTCCTTAAATTAAAAGAATACTTATGAATAATATAAAAACTTAAAAAAATTAATTAGTACTATTAAACTTGTAATGAAATGTACTATTAACTTCCCATTTCCTCATCCCATTTGCCAGAGGCAACAGTTTCTCCCTCCCTCCCTTCCTTGCATATAGTTGACATAAAATATTATATTGGTTTCAGGTGTACAACATAGTGGTTCAGCATTTATATACATTATGAAATGCTCACCACAATTAAGTGTAGCTACCATCTGTCACCATCAAACTGATTATAATATTGATTATATTCCCTATGCTGTACTTTACATCTCTGTAAATTTAATTTTATGACTGGAGGTGTAAAATCAATTTTATACCTTTAGTTTATGAAGTTTGTACCTCTTAATGCTCTTCACTTATATCACCCATTCCCCTTCCCGTTCCCTTTGGCAACCACCAGTTTGTTCTCTGTATTTATGAGTGTGTTTCTGTTTTATGTTTGTTCATTTGTTTTGTTTTTTAGATTCCATGTATGTGAAATCACACAGTATTTGTCTTTGTCTGACTTAATTCACTTAGCATAACATCCTCTAGGTCCGTCCATGTTGTTGCAAATGGCAAGATTTCATTGTTTTTTTTATGACCAAATAATGTTCCATTGTCTATATGTACCACATCTTTATCCATTTATCTGTCAATGGACATGTAGGTTGCTTCTATATCTTGGCTATTGTAAATAATGCTGCAATAAACATAGGGGTGCATATATCTTTTTGAATTAGTATTTTCATTTCTTTGAGTAAATACTCAGAATTTCTGGATCATACCATATTTAGATTTTTAATTTTTTGAGGAACCTCCATATTGTTTTCCACTGTGGCTGTACCAGTTTATATTCCCACCAATATCCCAACAAAGGTTCCCTTTTCTCCACATCCTCACCATCACTTGTTTTTTCTTATCTTTTTGATATTAGGCATTCTGACTGGTGTAAAGTTATATCTCATTGTGGTTTTGATTTGCATTTTCCTGATGATTAATGATGTTGAGCACCTTTTCATGTTTGTTGGCCATCTGTATGTCATCTTTGGAAAACTATCTATTCAGGTCCTCTATCCATTTTTAAATTGGATTATTTGTTCTTTGGTGTTGAATTATATGGGTTCTGTATATATTTTGAATATTAGCCCCTTACTGGATGTATCATTTGCAAATATATCCTCCCACTCAGTAGGTTGCCTTTTCATTTTGTTGATGGTTTCCTTCCAGAGGCAATAATTTTCTATTCTCCTATTTGTGTCTTCTCCTGACTTCCCACTCCCCCATATTTCTGAAAAATAAAGTACACACATTTTTCTTTTTTCAACTTTCTTGAGATACTCTGCAGTTATTTCTTAATATGTCAGTTTTAGATATTAGCTTTTGGCTTTCTGCTACAAAGCACTGTTTTAACTCTCTCCTGCCCTCCTCCCCCAACATACACAGATGTACACACACACTCTTTTTCCCATACCCTTAATATGGTTCTATCACAATTCAAATCAATATTGTATGTTTGCATTATTGTGACCTTGAATATCTAAACATGATTCACCTGAGTCATGTAATGTGCTATTATATTTTTTTGTTTGGTTAGTTTTCTACATACCTCTTACAGGTCTTCTGCAATTTCTGACAGAGCTATAAAACCTTTTCCACTGTGTTCAAATACAGCAGTTAAATTACCAGTTCCACTTTATTCTTAAAAAGGCTCTTCTGAGGCTCACCCTGCTCGAAGGGCCCAGCTCTCTGGGGCTGCATAGCCCTCATCCGGGCCTTTGCCAGCACTCTGCTGCTTTGGTTCGACCCTGGGCTTCTCCTCTCTTCGTTTACCCAGATAGATATGGATTTTTAAAAACATTGCCCTCCTGAAAATGCCTTTACATTCTACTTGTATTGAGAATTGGGCTCAGTATATTTTCTGAGTTGGAAAGAGTATTTTATGAGAGTTTGAAATAATTGTTTTCGAGTGTTCAGCATTGTTTCATGAGGTCTAAAGTCATTTTTTATTCTTGAGCCTTCGTTTGGAACCTATTAAAGCTTCTCTCTGGATGTTTTCAGGGTCTTCCTGTTCCTGGTGATCTGAATTTTGCAGTGACGTCCCTCACTGTGAGACTTTTCCCGCCTGTTCTGCTGAGCACTTGGTCTTTTCAATATGGATGTTCAAGTGCCCTGATTCCAACACATTTTCTTCTATTTTTTTCTTCACTGATTTTCTCCAGTTCACTGTCTCTGTTCTTTCCTCTCTGAAACTCCTATTAGTTGACTGTTGTAATTTTCTCCTCTTTATATTTTTGTTCTACTTTTTGGAATATTTTTCATTTTCTTCTTTTACTCCTCCTACAGGATCCGTTTTAAATTTCTGCTTTAATATTTTAATTTTTTCAAGAATTTTACTTTGGTCTTTTTGTTTTTATTTTTATGGATGCTCTTATTATCTCTCTGAGGAAATTAATTATAAGGTTTAAAAATTCTCTCTTTTATTCCCTGTGTTATCTTTGTGTCCTCCAAGTTCCCTTTTCCCTGTTGGTTTGATTTGGTGTATTTATTTTGTATTAGAGGGTTTCCTGAAATGTCTGGTGATTCTTGGCTGACTTTCCATTTTAATAGTGAAATACTAAAAAGCCAAGAGGACATTCTGTCAGATGACGGGCTTTATGCTTGGGTGACGAGGCAATAACTTGGTCATTTCATTTGGGAGATCCTCAGATGCGTTATCTACAGGTCTTCTCACTTAGGCAGGTCAGTTTAGCTAAAGAGGAATCCTTGAACCTCAGGCCTGACTGCCTGCATTCTGGGAGCTGTGATGGGGATGAGGGTTTGAGATTTCCCTGCAGGGCAAGGACTCTCCCTGAGGGCCTTCCCATTCTCCTCTGGTGCTCCAGGTGCCCTTGTTCTCCAGGACTTCTCTCATCCCACTTCTCCAGAGGATAGATTTCTCTGCTGTAGCCTGAATAAGGAAAGGGTAGTTACCTGGCTGTGCAATTTAGGAGGGGGTCTGGGGGCTTATCTGTTTGTTTTGCAGACTCTCAATCAATCTTCCTATTTTTAATTCCATCCCCACTTCTGCCTCTGAAGTAACTCAGTACCTCCAATTCCTCGGCCTTCCTGTGGCTCACATGAGCTTTCCACTTCAGACTGCTAGGGTTTCGTTTTCTGCTGCATAAGCTACTGCCCCTCCGTTGACATGCCACTGCCAGAATATTTGACATCTTTCATCTGCTGTCTTCTCTTCTATTTTCTTTGTTCTTAAGGATTTGTACTTTAAAAACATCTATTTACAATTATTTTAGTGAAGTTTTGAGAGGAAAGAGAGATAGACATACATGTCTTATTTTTCATATTTAAGAGAAATAAGCTAATCCCCCCCTCCCCCATCCCAGGGCTGTATGATGAGGTAGCCATGGAAGTCAAAACAGGTTTCTGGATTCCTAGATGCTAACAATTGAATGGATGTTGAATAACATTTGTCCATTACCTGGCATAATTGTAGGAACTGCAGAACTAGAAGGCCATTTGCTTATGGTTCCTGATCTTGAGAGATACACTTTAACAACTATGGCTGATTTTCATGTAGTTCTAACAGGTCTTTCTCTTTCAGGGAAGGGTAAACATCTCATCTGAGTTAATTGGCAGTTGCAGGGATGAAGTCTTTGGTCTGCAGCAAGGAAATGGTTGGGGAGGGCGATGCTCACTCTCTCTTGCTTTGCCCTGTTCTACACTATTCACATCTAGCCTGCCAGACGTGGTCATATAGCAGACCACTGGCTGTAGATCAACTGAAATTTTTCATGGCTTCAAATCCGCCAGTGGAGGGGAAAGGCTCAGCAGGTTGGGTGAGGCACCTTTACCCACGGCAAAGCTTCCTCGGGAGATGACACTTGTGTAGATGGGTGGGAGGAGCTGCCCCCCCTCTTCCTCTGTCTCACCTGCAGGTGGCAGAGACTTGTGAGTACCCTACCCTGCTTCTTGGCTTTCATGAACTTTGCCAAGTATTAATACGGCCACCAATATCCCTTTCTCCCAGCTGTAGCAGCACTTCTTTAGCAAGCTAACTGCCTTTTTCTTACCTCCTTGTCAGAAACGTGTGCTGTCAACAATGGAGGCTGCGATCGCACCTGTAAGGATACCTCGACAGGTGTTCATTGCAGTTGTCCCGTTGGATTCACTCTCCAGGTGGACGGGAAGACCTGTAAAGGTAGCCTGCTAATGTGTGGGGAAAAGGCAGCTCTTCCCCTCCACGCCTCCTGAGCGACTCCAGGTCTTCTTATGATTCATATTGATGGAAGCTTTTCTTCCCTGAGCCATGAAAGGTTATAACTGAGTAAGCTTAATTAGAACCAACTTAATTACACTAACTGCTGAGAAGGTCAGCTTCTACAAGCACCAAATCAATCAAAAGGCAGAAGTTCAAGGAAACCTTCATTTGAAGGAGATAATATCAACATATCATACATAACAGCCTAGAAATTATTATGTAAATAATAGCCAAAATTACTATCCAGATAACTTAATGAATAACTATACTACTAACTTTAACTGATGAATGGAGACCCCTAAGATGTGCTAGTATTTCATGGACAAGAGTACAAAGGCTTAGTTCTTTAACATGATAACAAGTAGGTTACCAGATGAAACTATGAAAAGAAAAGATTAAATATCAAGAATCTTTAAAAAAACATTGAAGCTATTTGATCATAGTGTAATTTGCCAAAACAAGTGTTCTAGTTCCTTATAATTGTAATCATTAAACTGAAATGGAAAGTATGCTCCAGGGAGCCAACTCCTCTAGAGAGAGCAGAGCATCTAGACTGTAACAGGACATCATCATTCTGTCCCATAGCTGGTTTCCTTAGTGCTAGTCAAGGACAGTTGAGTCAGACTTCTCAAAGGGACCAGGCACTTGTCTTTCAAAATTGGGTAAGCCAGACAAGTAAACATGTGTAAGATTGAAAACATCAGCAAACTTTCTTAAATGCTTTCATGGATCTGTTTTTGTTTCAGAGAATAACAAAGCACACACAATAGCACTTCAGGGATTTGTGGAAAATGAGGCAAATATTGCTGTCTGATTTGCTGATGCTTGCCTGTTACAGATATTGATGAGTGCCAGACCCACAATGGAGGCTGTGATCATTTCTGCAAAAACACCGTGGGCAGTTTTGACTGCAGCTGCAAAAAGGGATTTAAATTATTAACCGATGAGAAATCCTGCCAAGGTATGTGCTGACACACAGCTGTGCTGTGCAATGCCTGCTGCTTGGAGCAGAAAAAACAAAATCCCACCCTGGCAGAGTCCGTTCACTGGGCGTCCTGACGGAGTCATTAACCCAGCCTCCAACCCATGCTCCACTTATTTCATCTGTTAGGTAGAATAAAAGCACTGATGTAGCTTCCAGGTGTATTTTGGAAATTAGGCTATTAATGATTAGAGAAGACCTCAGAGAACACATCTGGTGCGATCACAGCAGAGCTCACTGCTCAGAGCAGAATGGATCACAAAGTGCAGGTGGGACTGTGTTAGGGTGTTGGGATTGTGAATGATTTTCCTTCTCTAAAATTTCCTTTAATGTTATGGATTTTATAACAAAACCTGGTGACAAAAATATGTAGATTTAGTTAACATACTTTACCTTTTCCTGGCAAAAAGTTGGAGCCAATGCACAAACAAGGTCATATACCAGTTGGTCTCTTCCTTCTAGCCTTTGTTTGAATGGCCAGCTTTTGGTGCCAGGGGAGAAGGATCTGAGAGGCGGAGGAAGGGACTGAGTGGAGGAGAGACTGGTCCTTGGGCATATGTATCCCTCCCACATAAGGCATATGGCAAGGAAACCACTCTGGGTAGCAGTTGTTGAAAGGAGTAACTGTTTTGGGTGGGGGGCATCATTTATATTTTCTGATGAGCACCGTTTATGCTATAAATGTATAGGAAGAAGTTCTCAGGAAAGATGGGCTGTCAGTTATTCCTGTTCCATTTCTGGGAGTAAGAACAGCCTAACTTACTTTGTTAGAAATCCCAGAATTAAATCAAAACCAGAAAATAATATCTGATATCACTTCAGATAATGAAGATGTAGCTTATCTTTTTTTTTTTTTAACTTATGGTGTGAATCAGGTTTCTCTCTTGGTTTTCTTCTTAATACATAACTTGTCAGGCAGTTCAAGTATAACTCCCTTTATATTCAGCGAGTTCATTCAAGATGATTATTGCCTGGGTTTCTTCCATTTGACTTGGAAAGCAAATTTGCTGTTCCATATAATATGTCATAATGTATAGAGCAAGAAATACTATTTAAACTTTGTAAACACATTAAAAAGGAATTAGAGAAGTGACCTCATTTTTTTTTGGCAAAGCAGAAGCCCATCTTGAGCAGCCAAAGTCAGCTACTGAACTAGTTCACTTTCTTAACTGTCTGATATGAATAACAGAATTCATAGAGTGACATCAAATACTAAGAAAGAAAAGCCTTTTTTCTCATTTTTCGCTGATCAGTCTTGATGAACAAATATTTGTAGAGAACAAGTTTACTGAAGAAGTTGCCAGGATTTCTGGGAAAAGCTAAGGATGGAGAGGTTTTGTAAGAATTTGCCCTTTTTTATTTCTTTTTTTTTAATATTTCTCCAGTTCCTTCCAAATGTTTGTTTTTTATTAAAGTAGTTTTGTGTGGTGTGTTTGGTGTTGAAAAAAGATCTTGCTGTGGTCGAGTTGGCTTCCTCTGAGTTCTGCACTGGTCCTGGTTTATCCATTTGGAGACACAAGTCATAACTGTTAAAACCCTTCAAAGTGTTGAGGAAGTGAAGTACTGAAATGTGAATCTACAGGAAAGATGTCAGGATCTGACCAGTGAGGAACAGATGATTCGATCAACATATGCAGCCTCCTGAGGCTAGTTTCCATGACCTCAAGTGAAGCTAGGTGTGCCTCCGTAATGAACCAGGACAGGAGACTGAACCGTGGGGAAGAACAAAGCTAAGGGACTGGTCAAGAAGATCCAGCTGGGAGCTTTAACACCAAATATCAGCATCTGTAATAGAAAATTACTGAGGACTTTATAGCATAAATGCATTATTTTAGTGCAGAGGACATTAAAACCCAGGATTAGATGGACTCCTAGGGCCAGAAAACTATTTCTGGAAAGATCAGAAAGAGAGAGGAGCCATATTTATCTCCAACACAACCCAAATGTTTTTTCCTTTCAGTTTGCCACAGCTCAGAAAATAAGTATTGCTGTTTTACCATTAGTAATGTAACAACAATGATACATAGGTTGCACCTTAGAGTTTACAAACGCTTTCTCAGGTATATTATCTCATTTGGCTTCATTTAATATGTTAAATTACTTAGCCCCGCAAATAGCAGGCTCATCTCTGAGATCCGGCGAGATTGTAGGGGAGTACCATTTACGACAGAATTCGGAAATAAGGATCCTGGCTGTGAGTATACTTGTGCGCTGCTCAACACTTTCTTTAACACAAGGGAGCAGGAGAACTGATAGATAACTTTATATTCTGTTTGTGTTGTTTTTGTCGTTGGTCAGTCACTGGTGTTATTGTGAACATGTTCCCTTAGTTGGAGTTGGTTTCAGCTCCCCTGTCCCTTTGACAATTACAGATGTGGATGAATGCTCTTTGGACAGGACCTGTGACCACAGCTGCGTCAACCACCCGGGCACATTCGCATGTGCTTGCAGCACAGGGTATATGCTCTATGGCTTTACCCACTGTGGAGGTGAGCAGAGTGCCCCGCTCAGGTCAGGAGAGGCTGCGTCTGCGGCATGCAGGACCTGCCCCAGAGCAGGGCCAATTTTCCTACACCGGGGGATAAATGCGACATTCCAGCCGCCCCTGTACAGTAGCAGTAAGCCCATCAGCTGCTAAGAGACATCTCCTCACATTTATCCCTTGAACACGTGGAGTGTGAAATGGAGCGGAGAGAAGAGCTAAGCTCTTCATTATTGACTTGAGTGACTTTATTGGTGCACTTGTATTCCGAGGGTGGGGGGATCTCAGGAGCTGATACCCTGTCTGGCAGAACGTCCCCACAGGCAGTAAAGTTACACTCCTCAGAGAGGCTTAGCAAGGCACCAACCAATTCCAGCCTTATTGTACTTAGAAACTGGCTGTGAAGGCTTGTTTGAACTTTGAGCAAGTCTTGAGCTGGAAGTGGGATCAGTGACTTTATCCTGCACTCTGTGTCCATGCAGCAACGTGTCATTGTCATTATGGTCACACAGACAATGGCATGAACCGGATTTGGCACCAGATGACTTCCACCCTGCTCCCCCGATCATCAGGTTCATGCAGCAGTCTTTGGGAATACAGATTCAATTCGGATTCAGAATGCCGTAGGGCTTTAAAGTGATTCTGAGGATTGGAAGATTTGGGACCCACTGGCCTAAATACTTCCTGCCTAATCCTGTGTCTCATGCTTAAGCAGAATGAACAGTAATGATTTGCTATAGACAGTGTTGTCTCTCTTCTCCTGTCAACATCCCTGGCATGGATAAAAACAAGTACTTTCAGTCCTTCGAGAAACCCCAAAGAAATGTCCCTTGAATACAAGTGTGTATCTGGGTTTTAGTTGGAGCCACCTGGACTCAGTCTTGGGTTGATGGCGGTTAGTACAAGTCAGTTGCCTTTCTAAACTTCAGCTATCTGAACCGTCAAGTGGGGAGCCCTAATTCTGTGTCTGTCCCTTGTTATATGTGGCCCAGGAAGATAGTGGAGTTTTGAATCAGAAACCTATGCAGTGTCTGTGTTTGGACATCTGAAAGTAGAGTGTGACTGCTTCTGAGTGTCCTTAATGAGGGAATGGTTTGGTCAAGAATGGAACTTGGGGCCATCTTGGTGAGGCTTGTGCCAGGAAATCCACTGATGGGGAGCAGGGTCATGCGAATCCCGAAAGCAGTCAGCACCTGTCCTCAGTTTAGTGAGTGCCAGCCCTGTGACTCCCTTCTTGCTCCTTCCTCAGGGGAGGGATGGCGTCAGCTGGGTCTGCAGTGGGCTGCTGTGACAGGAGAGCATTTTGTCCCACAGACACCAATGAGTGCAGCGTCAACAATGGAGGCTGTCAGCAGGTCTGTGTCAACACAGAGGGCAGCTATGAATGCCAGTGCCACCCTACATACAAGCTCCACTGGAATAAAAAAGACTGTGTGGGTAAGACTCAGTCTGCAGGCTCAGCACTGGCCCAGCAGCATCTCCCTGAGGTCGGCAGACCAGCCCTGCACCAATTCTGCCCCCTCCCCTCTGCCCCAGCGGCAGCAGCTGGTCTGTAAATAGGTCAAAAACAGGAGATACTTTGCAGGATCTTTTGTGTTTCCTTCTGTGTTTCTGCATAAGTTGGAACTTACTTCTGTTTTCTTGGTTGCTTTTCTGCATGAAAAAGTAGCGTACAAGTAACTTCTTTATCTTTGTGGGAAATAGTGCCCACTGTTCTGAGCAAGGTGTCTCAGCACTTCTTTTTTTTCTGGGTCTTTGGTGCATGGGACTTCTTGTCACACCCAGAAGTGTCCTTTTTTTTCTGTGAGTGTCTACATTTTGTCCCATCCAGAAGTGAAAGGGGTCCCGCTCACTACGCCCACTAGTGTATCATCTCACGTGTCCCTGCACTGCAGTAAGAGTGGTGGAGGAGAAAGGTGCTTCCTGAGATGTCACTCTGGCATTCGCCTCTCTTCAGGTGAGTAGGTCCCAGTCCCTGGGGCATGTCTTCATGACAGGGCCAGGCCTTCCTGGCCATTAGGTGTTAGATGCCCTCAAAGGCTTCCAGGTCTTTGACCAGCTGGTTCCTGGCCAGAGGAGGCCCATGCTTTGAAACCCCATATGCTGGGCATTTTTCTGGAGGTCCATGTGGAGTGAGGGTAGGGGGTGATCTGAGCTGCTGTGTGGAGAGCTTATAACCTTGCTTAAATGTTGACAATCCACATTCTGTCTGTCAGGACTGCAAGAAGCCTACTCTGTCACCTGTGGCTCTTCCTCTCCTCTTGGGAGCAAACAGCAAAAATCAAATGACTCTGCTTTCGGGGGTAATTACCAAATCTGTGTATTCTCTCTGGGGCTCTGTGTTCAGTGAGCTTCATTCTTGGGTGTTGGCTTTGTTGTCTTTTCTCTTCATCTCCTTGATGCTGTGAGCCCATTACAGGATGTTCTAGCCTGCAGCCTTGGTGCCTGGCCTCTGACTCACCATGTAACAGATACTTACCACATGTCCACTGTGTGCTGGAAGGCTCTGTGGGTCATCATATTGGACAGAGGCCCACAGACCTCTGGGACAGGAGACTCAGGGCTCCCAAACTGCCTGTCATCCAGAGCACCTCAAAAACCCAGCAGGAAATGTGTACCTGGGTTGTATGGCACTGGCTGGAGCTAGAATGGGGGTGCAAGGATTCAGTCCAGAGAGAGGGCCCTGAACCTTTTCTGGTTTGTCAGATGACAGAGAATGAAATGTAAAGCTTTTAGGACACCTCATCCTCCCAGATTTAGATACCTCTGTGGTTATGTCATGAGAACATCTGAATGGAGAAATTGTTCTTGATGTCCTTACATGTGTGAGCAAAGCCAGAGACCCAAAGCATGATAATAATAGCTTGCAAATATTGAATGAACACTTAAAATATGCCAGCCACTGTATTACACATATAGCTGATTTAATCCACATTAAACCTCTGGGGCAACTTTATGATTTTCCTCATTAACTAGATAAAGAAAGTGAGGTTCACAGAAGTGAAATGACATACCTAAAGTGACTCAGATAGGAAAAAGTGGAGCCAGGATTTTAGCCAGGCAGTCAGGATCCAGAATCTTAAGCACTACCTTTCACTGCCTCTCTTGCCGGACGTTTGGACTCAGAGCAGACATCGTGGTCTGCTTCACCAAATCCCTCAGTGATGGTCACTTGGAAATTTAGGCCACCCCAAGGATGGGTGAGCAATTAGTTAACAGTTACTCAGTTCTTACTATGTGCCAGGCAGTAGGCTAAACATTTTTTTTATTGAAGTATAATTAATATACAATATTATATTGGGTTTCAAGTATACAACACAACAATTTGATGGTTATTTACATTATTAAATGCTCACTAAACTTTTTCTTGCATTATCTTATTTATAACAGCCTGGTAATATATATCTACTAAAATTATGTCTATTTTACAGATGAGGAGACTGAGTAAGGTGAGGGAGATTAAATAACCAGTTCAAGTTCTCATCACAAGTCAAGAGCTGAGCTTGAATTCTGGTCATTGGCTCCAGAGCCTAACCTATGGCTAAGACTGACTAAGGGAGGAGAGCAGAATGTTGCACATGAGGTGCCGAGAGTGGGACCCTTGCTCCCTCCCAGACCCTGAACCTCCTAGTCACCACTAGTGAAAGCCATCTTTGTCTGAAATGATGGCTTCCTTAGCCCTGCCTTCTGGCACAGGCTTATTTGGAAGAACTACTCTTCACCCTATACTTCAGTACTTTTGCCCAAATTTAAACTAGAGGATTCTGATTTTCTTTCCTGGGAAGGCACAAAATTGACCTCATAGTGCATCTCACCATTGAGGTTGTTTTTGGTCCTACCTCTGCTATATTTAAGCATTGGATCCATCTCATATAGAGGGATAAGTGTAACTCGTAGGAGGCTCCTGGTGTCCCCAGTTCCAGGGAATGGACACTCCATAATCAAAATCTTTCTTGGTCTCAGGGCAAGAGAGGGGCTCAGAGTGTGTGGTGGGACCCAGCCAATGGATAACTCCGCCATTACCCACCTAGTGTTTCCATTCCTTTGCATCTGAAGGTAATGTCTCTCACTTGTTTCTTTCTGAAGATGTCGCCACCATCAGGACAAGTGTAACCTTTAAGCTAAATGAAGGCAAGTGTAGTTTGAAAAAGGCTGAGCTGTTTCCCGAGGGTCTGCGATCAGCACTACCAGGTATGGCATCAGACTGCTGGAGCAGGGAGCTTGTCTGCACGTGGGAAAGGGGCCTGTAACAGGACAAGCCCTTCCGATGAGGTAGAACAGTTCAGACTCTCCAAGTACTCTTTCTGCAGGAGGCAGAGGAGCCTAGCCTAGCACCCCTGTATAGTTCTGGGGTTATACTTCAGGGCTTCCTTTCTGAGGTACATATGGTGAAGCTCTGGGAAACCTGAGAGTTCATAAGAATCAATAAAGGCTTTAAGATTCATTAGCAATTTGTGATTAGATTGGGTTACATTTTCTAGATCTCAGAGTTGCTTGAAATATAAGCCAAAGAAATGAAAAACTGTTTGGCTTGGGATAATCTCTGATGAACGAAGATGTAATATCCAGCTTCCCTGCTGGAGCTAGTTTTTAGAGGCTGGGCTTTAGCAGAACAAACACCATCCAAGCAGAACTGGCCTTCCTGAAAAGAGCAGAACTCCATGCTCCTCTTTCTTCCCCAGCTCACGTTTCTAGTATTAGTCCATAGAGTAATTTTAGAGATGAAAAAAAAATCAGGATTTGTGTGTTAGGGAGGTTTCTTTCCTAATGTAACCTCAAATAAATTGCACAAACATGAAGTTCACTGTAGTTGCTTTTGACTTCCTATTTTAAGGAACTAACCAATATTAATTTTGGTGCTGCCATTTGCTGAAATATTATGCATTATTAATAATGCTTTCAAAGGATATTTGATGACATAGGAAAATGTTCCTGTTACAATGTTAAGATGGAAAAAGGGAGAGTAACAGAACAAAAAAGAGAGAAAATTTACCATATTGTTAGCAGTAGTTATATCTGGGTAGGAGGATGACAGGTGATTTCAATTTTTCTTTTAGATCAGAGGGTAAAAAAGCATTATTTGAAAACATGTTTGGTCTTTAGTTTACTCAATGGTATTGTGCTAATGTTAATTTCTTGATTTTGATAAATGTGTTAACATAAGATGTCAGTTAACATTGTGGAGCACTTGGTGAAGAGTACATGGGAACTCTCAGTCCTTTCTTAGCAACTTTTCAGTAAATCTGAACTTATTTCAAAATAAAAAGTGTTTTTAGAAAAAAATACAGAAAAATTGAAAGGGCAGAAGATTCAAAATGAGCATCTGCTTAGTTTGAGATTAGCAGTTAACCTTTTGCAGAGATAAAATAAATCACTAGGGGAAATACATAGAGGGGAAAATTAATTTGCCTCCTCCTTCCTTTGACCCCTGATGATCTGTTGCTTTGAACACCCATGTAATGTTAAAGAAGATGATACAGATGATACAGCAGTTCAGTAAAGCAAGATTTTAAAATGGAAACAAGTTAATTGTGTGGATGATATGTGGACCTGCTCTTTGGTTTGGGTTAGCAATCATTAGTTACAAGAGCCCCTGGAAGCCATGAGGGGAGGGGAGATGGCCAAAGCCAGGAATAGGGACGTGCCCAGGCCTGCCTTCCACAGCTCTCCCATTCCCACTCCCACCCTGGATGCCTTCGCCATGTTGCTTGGTTCTGTAGGCTTGTTGCGCCACGTACCACTTGGTTACTTCCAACAGAGACATCGCTGCTGATGTGCTTTCCAGCTTTCCCTTTGGGTTAGATTACTCCAAGGTCAGTGTGCTTGAAAGCAGGAGTTGGCTTCCTTTCTACGTCTGTGCTCATTCCTTATTTGAAGGCTGAGCCCCTGCTTGGCACATTGCAGTCCAGCTTTAAGGAAACTGACTGTGCAAACACGAGCGCACCTTAGCAAACCCTGTCCGCAACGCAACACGAGCCTAGTTCCCGTCTCCCTCATACATAGCCAGTCAGTCAGAAACATCCAGCAATTATCCATGAAAGTAATTTTCAAGAGCTAAATTGTTACATTACCTAGGAGGCTATACTAGCTCTTCAAAATTACAATGTCATTGTGCTCTCCAAGCTGAGGGCTTGCAACGTCTTGGCATCTGGAGTTAATCATTCGGGCCCTTGAGAGTTGTTTTAATGAAATGTTTACTGAGCTCTAGCGCATGTTCAACTGAGTGCTTTGCCAGGATTTGGCTTCCGATAATTCTGTTTCTTCATACAGAGAAGCACAGCTCAGTAAAAGAGAGCTTCCGCTACACAAACCTAACATGCAGCTCCGGCAAGCAAGTCCTGGCAGCCCCTGGCCGACCAAGCGCCTCTAAGGAAATGGTTATCACTGTTGAGTTTGAACTTGAAACTAACCAAAAGGAGGTGACAGGTTGGTTTGAAACCAGTCTATGGTGCCAGGCCTCTCACAGCTTGCTCCTTATTCCTTTGCCTTCCACTTTTCATTGTTCTTGGGGGAATAATAATGCAACCACTGAAGTATCTCCTGTTTTTCGTTTTACCCCCAAACTAAACTGAATTGGTTTGGAGCCTGATGATTTTATCAGCTTCATAAAAACCCAAAGCCACCATTTCGGTGAACAAATTTCTGTTTGAACCGAATGCTGTCCAGCCTGCTAGGTGCCCAGCTCTGGGTCTCCCCCATCCTGTCCACAGGGGACTGTGGGTGTTGGTGGGTCTGCAGTCAGTTGGACATCCCCACATGCTGAGGCCTGACCTCTCCCTGACTGCTGTCCCTCTCGTTTCTGTAGCTTCATGCGATCTGAGCTGCGTCGTGAAGCGAACAGAGAAGCGGCTCCGGAAAGCTGTCCGCACGCTCCGGAAGGCTACCCACCGGGAGCAGTTTCACCTCCAACTCTCAGGGATGGACCTTGAAGTGGCTAAAAACTCTCCCAGAATATCTGAACACCGAGTGGAGTCCTGTGGACTGGGCCAGGGCCACGTAGGAGATCAGTGTGGTGAGTGGCCTGCTGGCCAGGACATTCTTGCTAACAGAACTCTCTTCAGCTCCAGAAACACTATGGGTAGCCATAATCCATCCTTTCCTCTCTGGGCTCACTCCAGAGGACACCCTGGGCACCACCTCTCCCTGAGAACCAATGCTGGTGTCTGTTGTGCCTGCCAGACCAGGAGTGCCCTAGCACCTGGCATAGTGCCTGGCTTGTGGTGAGCACTTAATAAATGTTTGCTGAATTAAGGGACAGAAAGGAAGAAGCAGGGTTGATGAGAAGAGGGAGTGTTGCCTTTTAAGGGACTGAGGGATAGTGGTCTTCAGAGCACTGTGGTCCCCTGCCAGGGCAGGGTGGCCGGTGAAGGCACCATGAGCCTCCTGGGCACCTCACTGTCACTATTCCCCTTAGAGCTCCTGGTTTGACTGCTGGTGGCAAGGAACAACTTCCTACCCATACTCCTGGGCAGTGGTGAGGCTTGGGGGATGCCCATTGGCCTTATGAGATCCCTGAACCTCAAGGCTCCTAGTAGTTCAGTTCCATGTATGCTGTTTTATGTGTGTGTGCGAGTATGTGCATATTCCAGAATTAAATGTGGGGCCTGACATTTGAGCATCATCAATTCCATTCTCTGATGATGTTCCAGACACTAGGGACCTGGGCAAGTGGCTCTAGGGTGGTCCAGTCTTGAGATTTATTTGTTGTGGGAGACTGTTCTGGGAAATTTTGGGAGATTGTATCTGAAAAGTCTTAGATGGGGAAAACTGGGGGTCTTTATAGTAATGATAATGATTTACTGAGTCTCACCTGTCATAAGTAGAATGCTAAGCACTGTGTCGGCATGATACACTGAATCCTAATACTAATCTTAACAGGTAAGTATTATTATCCCCATTTAACAGACTAACACACTGGAGTTCAGAGAGCTAATTTCTCTTGCTCAAGATCACATTGATGGTCTGACTCCAAAGCCCGTGCTCTGGTCCTAGGTAAGGTGAACCAGACCCTCTCTGGAAAAATTGATGTCCTTTCTGAAGTGTCATTAAAATTCACGAGGCCTGAGAAATGAAGCTTGAGCTAAGGAGTAATAAATCAGTGTTTATGAAGAAGCAAAGCTGAGCCCAGGGGCATTTGTTTAGGAGAATTGGTATCAATAGGGCCCAGATCTGTTGCTTTGCCCAACAGTAAAAATCCAGTGTAAAATCTGGTGTAACAGTCCACCAGGGGCTGGTTCTCAAAGAGTCTTGATTTTTATTCCAACTGACTCTCTTGAAAAGAAAAAAAGAGTAAAACCAACCCAGCTGATTTGTTTGTTCTGACTTCAGTTCTAGGAGTTCCAGTTTCCATACCACAATGGTGATGAGAGTCGGCTGTTACTGCTCTAACTTTCCAGGGCAAGTTGCAGAATCGGTCAGGGACATGCAGGCAGGTCCTCCTTCTGGCCTCTCAGAGCTAAATGGCACCTCCTTTCCCCATTTGCTGTCCTGTTAGGGAGAGGCCTTGCAGCCTCACCAGGGAGTTAAGAATTCAGGACAAGCTAGTGTCAAGGGCTCCCTGGACCAGCTCCCAGTAAGATTACCAGAACTACCATGAGTGTGCTTCTGGGGAATAAAGGCCCCACACGGTGAATCAGGAGTTACTTAACGGAGGTCTCATGACCATGACAACTCATGAAAGATACTCATCACATGGTTTGTATCACTGTTGTGAGTGTGACAGAGTTCTAGGATGCTTGTCATGCTGTTAGGCTGGACTTGTGGCTGAGGCAGGCAATGTTTTGTCTCAAGAGCTCCCTCTAGTATGGTTGGATTTTATGGTCGACATTGGACCAAATCAGGTCCACCCTGTCTGACAGCAGTGTTGAAGATTCACCATGCAGAGAAAACAGTGCACAGACTCACCAGTGAAATTCCCCCTTCCTCCCACTGGTGGGAGGAAGTGGGTATAAGGAGGGGTTGGGAGTATTAATTAGAAAGGCTTTTTACCTAGCAGACACATGGCACGGGCAAGCCAGGGTGTGTGTGTGTGTGTGTGTGTGTGTCCCACAGTCTTCGTCTATTTGATGGTGTTAGAACTTCATTAAGACCAAGCTTCCTGGTATTTTCTGAACTCTGAATGGTACACACAGTAGAGACATGCTGAGGATAGTTCTCCTAGAAATTATTTTCAGTGTCTGCAGAAAGAAGCCCAGAAAAGTGTTTTGAGTCACCTAGGAGAGATGAAACCATTATATTTCTCCCTTAAAATATTTTTAACTTAGGTTTTAATTACCAGAGTAGTATATGTTTCAAATGATACAGATATGTACACAGTAAGGGTGAAAGTTCTCCCCTCTATTCCTGATCGCATGCTCCAGTATTTGCTGTGAAGGGTTTGCTATATATTTTCCATATCTGTTTTTATGCCCATATGAAAATGAAATTTTGTTAATTCATTCAATAAATGTTTATTGAGCACCTCCTGTGTGCCAAGTATTAGATGCTGGGAATCCAGTAATAAAAGAAAAAGCAAAAATCTCAGCCCTCCTAGAGTTTACAATTCTAGAGGAGGAAGACAGACTACAAGCCAATAAAGAAGGAAATACATCATATAGCAGATGGTGGGAAGGGTATGAAGAACAGGGAAGGGGAATAGAAAGTGTCAGAGCAAGGGGAGGAGTGAGAAGGGATGTACTCCCCCTAAATGTAGACTATGGGGAGGGACTGTGGTCATTGCAAAGTGTCATTTGGGCAGAGATGTGGAGGATGGGGAAAGCAAGCTGTGGAGTATTTGGGGAAGAGTCCCAGGCAAAGGAAACAGCAAGCAGAAACACCCCAGGCATTGGGAAAAGTCCTGATTGAGGAGAGTGTGTGGGAAAGCCAGATCATGTGGGAGTGGAAATACCTGTGAGGACTCTGACTTTGAATCTGAGTGAGAAATGAAACCATTGAAGGGTTTTGAGCAGAGGAGTAACAGAGTTCTGACTTATGTTTTAAAAGAGTAACTTTGGCTGCAATAAGCTTATGTGTGAAGGAAACATTAAAAAATATATTATCATCCAATTTGAATAGTGCTATGTGCCGTTTTTAACTATAGAGCAGATCACAAACATCCTTACATGCTAATGGAGGAGCTACTTTACTTTTTTAAATCTTCCAAGCGTACATTTTTTTTAAAGACAGTAGTATTTGTTAGCCATACCACTATTGGTGGACATTTAATTTATTCCTATTTTTCTATTACAAACAGTGCTTTGGTGAATATTCTTTTTTTGTGCACATGGCCAATATTTTTGATAGACTTGTAGAAGTCCAATTACCGGGTCAAAGGATGTACAGATTTAAAACTTTAACAGACATTGCCAAATACCCTCCAAAAAGACTATATGTATACTCCCTCCAACTTCATATTTGAGTATTTGTTGGCCCACAGCATTGCTAACACGAGTCATTTATTATATTATTATTGATCTTTTTAATTTTTGCAAATCTAATAAGCAAAATGATGAAGTCAAATTTTAACTTGTTTTTCTTCAATTATTAGTAAGACTGAGTATGCTGACATATGACTGTGGCCATTTGGATTTCTTCTCCTGAGAATATTCATATTCTTTGCCTATTTTTCCATCGAATTGTTTTTTTTACAATATCACTGAAAAAGAAATTTTAAGTCCTAAGTTCATCAAAGAACATAGTCACTTCTGACCAATTTCTTCCTTTCTTATATTCATTTTTACACAGTAAAGTCTCATTAATTTGGCATTTAAGGACTTTAGGGACATCTTGCTTTCCAGGTGACCTTTATACCATCTGTGATCAATTCTAGCAAGATGGCAACAAAAAAAATGAGTGATTATGTTCTCCAAGGGACAAATTCCTTAAGCTCCGTAGTAATTTATACAGCCTTTCATATCTAGAGAAAAAATAGATTTCCATATTTCTTTCATAGCTACTTATCATTTCATAAAGGGTAAATTATTGAAGGAATATACTTGCTAAAATGTGTATTTTTATCTTTATTCTTAAAACTTGCTGAAATTTTTTGAAGACATAATCTAGGCAGCTGGCAAACTGGGAAATATTTTAGTGCCTGTGTTCTTGGGAGACTAGGAAAGTTAAATTCAACTTTCAACATCAGTAGCTTTCCTCTACAGCAGTTGAGAAAGATTAATTCAACCAGTATTTATTGAGATACTACTCTGTACCACTCTGAAGGTGGTATGAAGCTGTGAGAACACAGCGGGTTAGGAGCCTGCTCTTATAAAGTTCATGCTCTAATAGAGGGAGAGGGACAATAAAAACGTAAAGGAAATGATAATTTCAGAAATTGTAAGTGCTATGAAGATAATTAAACAGAGAGTGCCAGAGAGGAGGACCAATTACTCTCCACAGGGTGTTCAGGGAAGCCTTCAGAACAGGAGACACTTGGCTAAGCTCTAAGTGAGAAGGAGCTGGCCACACAATGCTTGGACGGGCCCACAGGATGCCCTGATGAAGGAGGGATCAGCAAGTGCAGAGGGCCTGAGGCAGGAGTGAGCCAAAGATTCTCTTAAGTTTTCCCAAGTTGAGAAATTACTTGGAATTGAACAGGCAGAAATTTTTGTAACTCTCAGTTTGAATGTTCTCACCTCTCTTGGGCACAGCCTGTGCCCTGTGGTTATTTTACTCATACTACATACACACAGAGAACCCTCCTTGGGCCACTTCTGTGGTGGGTGCTGAAGAGGCCTGGATGAATAAGACACCATCCCTCAGGCTACACTTAGCCCTTCCAGGGAAGCGTTAGAGAAGACTTCCTAAAAGAGAGAAAGCCTAAACTGAGATTTGGAGAATGCCTAGATGACACACGGATTGGTGGACTATTCAGGCCAAGGAGCAGCAATAGGGAACAGAACTGAGCGAGATGCACACGGCGCTTTATTGACATTTCAGTATCACTAAACTTGAGCACAAGCTAGGGTAGGGTGGGCAACTAGGCCAGTGGGAAAGGCATGGCGAGCCCAGGAGACCTTGAATATGCTGCTAAGGAGC